TCAGTCATACTTTAAAAAGTGTGTTTTCTCACAATGACTCAGTCATACTTAAAAAGTGTGTTTTCTCACAATGACTCAGTCATACTTAAAAAAGTGTGTTTTTTTATAATGATTAGGTTGTACTTTAAAAATTTATTTTCTCACAACGACATGGCTGTAGTCAATAAACAGTTTTCTTTCATAATAACTTTTACTTGGCCCAGAAAACCCGATTTCTGTGTCAGCGGTAAAAAAAAAGAACGCAGGCCTAAATAGATAAACTAACATTTACCGAAAAGAAGAAAAACTTAGAAAACGCTATATCATGTGAATAAAACTCGATAATATCATTTTAGAGTTAGAGTTTTATAAAAAGAACAAACAGAGTTGGAGAGTCATACCAACAGCCAGGGTAAACCTCGTCCATTCCGAGGTGAATATATTCATCCTTAAAAACATCTTTTACTTCTTTGAAAAACTCGTTAAAGAAGTCATAGGTATAATTCTGTATTGGGTTCAACATCTCTGAATCTGCGTGTTCTGGATAATTTGGGGTGAAGGGATTCTTTCCATCGCCATAACAGGGGGTAATGAGATCTAAAAAAAAAGACCATAAAGAAACAAAATGGCGGATGTTAGTTACAGAAAGTATCCATAGTTTTCTTTTTGTAAACTCCTGGATTTCAGTGTTTTATATAGTCTTTCTCAGAATTCCAAGGTATTTTATGAGAGCTTTTATTCTTTGAGCAAACTATTTTTATCGACAGTTTAGGCTTTAAATATCTAATTACTATTTAGAATTCTCGAAACTTTTAAGTTTCAATAAGTACAAATCAATGTCAGTCCCATTTATTTCACCCAAGATGTTTGATGTCCAAGAAATCAGTGCAGGACAATAAACTAGTTGTCATGAGTAAGTAATAATCTACTATTTTTTTAAATAATATTGGTCATAATGTTTAAAAGAATATGAATATTATTGTTAGACTTGTGATGATTGTTTTACACTGTTTGTTTAGTATGTAAGTTTCCTAAGCTGGTTAGCTTAGTATGTAAACTGGTTAGCTTAGTATGTAAGTTTCCTAAGCTGGTTAGCTTAGTATGTAAACTGGTTAGCTTAGTATGTAAGTCTCCTAAGCTGGTTAGCGTAGTATGTAAATTCTAAAGAATTAACTAACTTGGATTTTGACAAGTAGTTCTTGATGATAGAAACTCAGCCAGTTTAAAGCAACGTAAAACATAATACGTTAAAACTTATAAATCACTTCTTAGATCTGTCTACAGAATTAGTTTGCTTTTCGTCAGTAGTTATTTGTAATAGAGTCTCAGGCATTTTAATGTAACCTAAGCATCTACTGATAAAAAAAAAATTCTCTAGTGCACTTAGCGAACAATTTCGGCAATCAGTTTACTTCATATTCATTAAAACTGCTATATCACTTATAAGATAACTTGTAGCAGGTAAACCGAGAAAGAGTTTCAGCTATAAGCATTTACAGCATTTATATCATAACCTACTTTAACACAAATCTCCCTCATAAAACAACCAGGAGATATTTTCCTTGCTGATAAGACTTCCTGAAATGAAAAAATAGAGTTTATCTAATCTGATGTGGAGTGACTCGGAAAACAGGTAACTTGGGCGAAAGGAATCAACCAGAGAAGCATGTCTATTACATCAGAGACATTGCGTGATTTTAATTTAATTTTTAACGTAGTATAACAGCGTAACATTATTCGTAACATGCTGTAAACTGACCAGAAGTGTTGGCATTTGAATTATGTATGCGACGTTTACTATGAGAAGTGCTCTTTCGAAGCATCTGTAAAACAACTTCTTTTCTCAGACTGCTTATTTTCTATTGATGGTTTGAATTATGGCTTCGGATTGAAGAAAACACGACACGAACAGATATTCTGAATACAGTATTCGTGGGATTGTTTCCCTGGTCAACCATTTAACACGATACACAGATGTTGTGAATACAGTGTGTTCATAGAAACTTCCTCTCGTCAAGCATTTAAATACGATCACATAGATGTTTTGGGGACAATGCATTTGTGGAACTGTTTTTCTGGTTAAGTCATTTTCCTACGAAAGTTTTTTTTTTTTTTTAACTAATCCTTCATTTGTTCCTATTATACGAAAATATACTGTAGATTGGTTCTGTAAATGTACAGAGTAAAAACGTTCACTTTAGTAGCTAACGTAACGTGTTCTAGTTACCAACGTTCGGAAT